AATAAATCATTGAATGTACAGAACTCTATCATTCTATCTCCAGCCTCATTTCTCTCACTGAGCCCATGTTTTCCAGCTACTGATCCTTCTTCCCTGTTCCCAACTTTTGTATTCCAGTCGCCTGTTATTATCAATGCATCTTGATTGCGTGTTTGATCAATTTCTGAGTGCAGAAGTTGGTAGAAATCTTCTATGGAGAGAGTAAAATATAATTTTTGTCTCCAAATAGTTCTGATTGAAGTTTGCTTGTGTATAGTTGGAGTTACTTGGTAACATGTTCCAATGTGCTGAGGAGTAGCCTTTGCTTATAAATGAGAATTTGGATTCCTTATCATGTGCCTATGCAAGAATATAGTTAATAGACTATGGGACTTTCAGGAAATGTGGTTTTAAATTAACATCTTCATTTCTGAATAGGAAAAACTTCTTCCTCTGAAAAATTGCTGCACTTGTTCGTTGCAGTGGAGTCAACTAATACTCATAGTAGCTCTGTAAACAGCAGACCTGAACAATCCAGCCTGTTGAGGGTCCTCTTCTCTTTGATCTTCCACCTTTCTCAGCATATCTTTTCCCAAGAACTGGCCCCTCCTGTTAACTTGTACAAAGGATATGAGACAAAGCTTCACTCATCGTTGCCTCTAAGGAACACCCTGGTTACATTTCCTCCAAGACAGACTTGTTTGCCTGCTCTCCCTTGTCACCTTCAAGTGAAACCATGTAGCTCTTTAATTATGGTTGGAGAGACATGACCTATTTTCTTTTTTATCATAAATATTTCATTATTTTTTGGTAATGAAAGTTTTTTACCATTCTTTTTTGTCATTTCCTTATCAGTAAATTCTTATGTAAGCAATATATTAAATTCTTTGATTCTCTCCCTTAGTGGAACTGCTTATATATTTTGCTGGGGAAAAAAAAGCCTACAAGAGTTTTAATTAGGGATCGTGTACATGTGTCTATATAAAGCATCCATACCAGAATTCTTTTAAAAACTTTTTACTATTACACCAGTTTTAGTTCTAGTAAATGAATTTATATAAACAAACAAACAAAAAAAACCAACAAAGCCCAGCCTTTAATTTTCTAGTATGGCTTAATTTTGTTCTTAGATGTGATAATTTTATTTAAAAACAAAGCGAAACACAGTAATGACAACAAAAAGCCTGTACCCATAAAATGAAGACTTAACATAAATATAACCAATTAAGTAAACACCTAGCAATCTTATAAATATGCATGTGTATGAAAAATGATCACTAATAATACATTACATTTTGAGTATTTTGAATTAATTCTTGATTACTCAACAGTGTAACAGGATGTGTGTTCATATATAGGTGATTGTAAAAAAAGCAAACAGTGTGATGATGTTTTCCACCTGCTCACAGCCCCTTGGCAGTAGTCATTCAAGTGAAACCATGTAGCTCTTTAGTTATGATGGAATAGAACTGACCTGTTTCCTGCATGATCATAAGAAAGCCATTTTACTGTTTTGTAATATAGAAAGTTTTTCAGGAAGTTTTATTTTCATGCTTAATAAAGTGCTTGTGTTTTTACTTGGAATATTCCCCTCCGTTTTTTCCTTGTTCTGTGCAGATTACCAGCGCTTGATGACTGTGGCGGAAGGCATCACCACACTTTTGTTCCCATTTCAGTGGCAGCATGTTTATGTGCCTATTCTCCCTGCTTCTCTGCTACATTTTCTTGATGCTCCTGTTCCTTATCTGATGGGCCTTCAGTCAAAAGAAGGAACTGACCGTTCTAAACTAGAACTTCCTCAAGAGGTAACACTTAATAATAAATGATGAAGAGTTTCTCAGTTCAGATCACTGCTGCTTTTATTAGGTAGCAGTGCTCCTACCCACATTGTGTTTGATGATCCTAAATTTCTCAAGTACATCTGAGTTAAAGTCTGAAATGAAATGCAAATCTTGCCTCCTGATAATTATTAACAGAGTCATTAATAGATATGGTTCAAGACAGAGCAATGGCAAATGTTCTTATGTACAAAGTTGTGAAAATGGAGTACTAGTACTGTAATCTCATTACTTTATTATTGGTGGCATAGTCCATAGAGGATTGCACTTCTCATCCAAAGGTTTACTCTCTGGCAGTTGGACTCTACCAGCAGCAACTTGGAAAAACAGATGGGCAGTCTCCTCCAGTGCAATACACAGCCTCTGAAAATTCACCAGAGGGTCAGATATGAGTCAGTTCCAACTCAACAGCAATGAAAGAAAGTGTTACTGTCCTGAAAACATTTCTTTTCCCCACTTATGTTATGACTTTTGTTTTGGCATCTTTTAAAATTATTTTATTAATTAAGATAAATTTGACTTTTTGGCCTCTGTCAAGTGAAAAGGAACATCTTTAAGCAAGCTAGGGAGGATAGAAAAATTAAACACTTTAGAATTGCCTGTTTTCAAACCTAGTTCCATTTACTAGCATTTTCTAAATGTTAGCTTGACTTGAGTGATTGAGATAAACATTTTAACCCCTGGCTCTGTGCCACATTAAGGTTGCTTTGCTTTCTCTGTGTTGTGTTTTCAGATACTATTTAAGAAAAAAAAAGAAATAGAAAAATTTTTGAAGCATTTAAAATCTAATCTTTAGCTGCTGTTAACAGTGCTCAGAATTGCAATGTAAAACCTTTAAAATGAAATATTAATGAGGGTACCATGGCCTGCTAAAAAAAACCCCATAAAACAGTTAATTACATTATATTATTAGCTATTTAATTAGCACCTTTTATAATGCAATCTCTCCTGCAGTGCTTCACTTTTATTTGTTCTTGTTTCCCATAGAGATTCTCATTTTAACAAGTGAATTGAAAATAATGTACTCTGTGATAGCCATATGAATATTATACTCAGGAATGATTGCTGTAATCATCCTTTGCTTACTTTTATTCTAATGAATGATTCTTACTAAAATTAACATTTTGTGTTAAAGGAAAAAATATCTTGACTTCATTCACCCAAAATATATGTGCATGGTGTCTTGCTCATTTTGAGCTTACACAAGTATGTTCTACTCCTTTCTACATCTTTTACTTCTTTATTTTCCTTTTCTATTTCTTTAATTATCCTGTTGTTTGTTTCATGAAATTAATCTCAATATCTTGTTGGAAGAAGTACTTTTTTTTATTTTGAAGGAAAATAAACAGTCTAACAAAATACATTTACTTTAAATTTAAATAGTGATATATTTTAGTTTCCCGTTGAGTATATGGATTATTTTGAAATTATGCTCTATAAGATACTTTGTTCAGCTTGATAAATATTATCTTACCATTTGTGCATGAGTAATAATTGTAGATATTTTTTTTAAAAAGTGTTTTACTCATTGTTGCACATTATCTTCCCTGCTTCCCCTCACCCATCCCACCCCACAATGCACCCATTGTACCAGATTGCTCTTATACATATAATGCATAATCATATTTTCCTTTTGGACAGTTCCACTTGTCATCTGTTTTAATGCAGTGTTCATTATCTATCCACTCTTTCCCCATTCTCTTCTCCAGTCTCTTGTATCTGTCCTACTGTGTAACAGTGGTGGTATACAGTATTTGATAAAATATTACCTTATATATTTGCAATATGGAAACCTGTCTCTCTGTGTGTATGCAAGCCTCTGACTCTAAAGATATATAAAATGCAAACAAAATTCCAGGTGTCTATATTCTTTCCAACTTTTCATTGATAAAATCAGCAGTATTTAATAAATATTTTGCACTAGAGCACTGAGACATGAAAATAAAGGAAACAAATGAAGTAAAAGAGTTGAATAGGTGCTTTCAACGGACAACTCGAGAAGACAAAGTTTTATAACGAAATGTGCAAAGACCTAAAGTAAAAAAAATAAAAGAGAAAAATTCACTAAGCATTTCTCAAGCTGAAATGGATTCAAGCCTCAATTGCAATATTGAAAAATGCTTTGGGCAAAATCTTGAATGATATCGGAAGCATTAAAAGAAGATGGAAAGAATACACAATCATTACACCAAAAAGAACTGCTGGCGTGGAACCATTTCAAGAAGTAGCATATGAATAAGAACCAGTGGTAACAAAGGAAGAAGTTCTAGCTGCTCTAAAGGCATTGGCAAAAAATAAGACCCCAGAAATTGATGGAATACCAGCTGACACATTTTGACAAACAGATGCAGCCCTGAATGTGCTCACCAGGTTGTACCAAGAAACATAGGAGACAGCCATTTGGCTGTTGTTGTTGTTGTTGTGTGCCTTCGAGTCGCTTGCGACTCATAGTGACCCTGTGTACAAAGCTTTAGACTCTGCTCTGGTCTGTGCCAGTCACACCGTCTCTGATACACCCATCCCGATAACCCCAGTCACTGAATCAATCCACCTCAAAGAGGGTCTTACCCTCCTGCGCTGTCCCTCCACCCTACCAAGCATGAGGTCCCTCTCCAAGGACCGGTCTCTCCTCACAACATGTCCAAAGTACATTAGACAGAGCCTCAGAATCCTCACCTCCAAGGAGCAGCCCGGTCTGATCCTTTCCAGGATGAATCTGTTTGTTTTCCTGTCCATGGTACCCTCAATACTCCTCCAGCACCACAGCTCAAAGGTATCAATTCTCCTTCTATCCTCCTTAGTCATTGTTGGGGGGGAATCCATATCTGTTCCCATTCTCAAAATAAGGTGATCCAGTAGAATGTGGACATTATCAAACAATGTAATCACTATCACATGCAAGCAAAATCTTGCTAAAGCTCATGAAAAAAAAATGGCTAAAATAGTACATTGACAGAGAACTGGCGGAAATTAAAGCCGGATTTACATGAGGCCATGGCACCAGGTATATCACTGATGATGTTCAGTGGATCTTGGCTGAAAGCAGAGAAGAACAGAAGAATAGCTGCTTGTATTTTACCAGCTGTGCAGAGGCCTTTGACTATGTGGCCCGTAACAATTTATGGCTAACATTGAGAGGAATGCAAATCCCAGAATACATAATTGTGCTCATGTGAAACCTAGACCTAAACCAAGAAGTGGTTATGCAAACAGAGCTAGGGAACAGTGCATGGTTCAAAATCAAGAAAGGTATCCATCAAGATGCATCCTTTCTCTATATCTTTTCAATATATATGTTGAATAGATCATTTGAGAAGCTAGACTTTATGACAACAGTGTAGCATCAGGATCCAATGAAAACTCATTAATAGTGTGTGTTATGTTGATGACATCATCTTGCTTGCCAAAAATGAGGAATTGAAGCACTACTGCAGAAGATTGAGGGCTACATACAGCATCTAAGCATCAAGTAAACAAAAATCCTTGGAGGGTTAAGGAAATGGGAAGGATTTAAAAAAAAAAAACAAACCGAACAAACAATGTATTCAAACTATAAATAAACAACATAAAATTAAAGAAAACAAAAATGCTCACCAACAAGCCATTGGGCAGCATCATGATGGATGGAGAAATGATTGAGGTGGTTGACTCTTACTTGGATCTGCGGTTCCTTGACACCAGCAGTTATGGAATCAAAAGTTGAGTTGCATTGGGAAAATCTGTTTTTAAGGACCTGTCCAGAGTATTAACATGCAATTGTATTGGTCTAAAGACTAAAGTTAACCTAATCCAAACCATGGTCTTTTTCATTGCTTGCTCTGCATCTGAATGCTGGATAATGAGAAAGGATTACAGAAGAAAAAGCAATGCCTTTCTGTTGTTCTTGAGAAGAATATTGAATATTCCCATGGATTACCAAGAGAACAAATAGGTCTTTTCTGGAAAAAGTGAAACTGGGGTGCTCCTTTGGCACTAGGATGGTGAAACTCTGTTTCATGTACTCTGGGTATGTTGTCAGGAGGGGCTAGTCCTTGAAGAACATCATCCTTGGAAATGTGGAGGGGTCATATGAACAAAGTGTGACCCTCAAAAAGATGGATTGATACAGATAGGCCAGATGTCCCAGAGATGGTAAGATAGCTCAAAACAGGACAAAGTTCAGAGCTGTTGTTGATAGGGTTGCCATGATTTGTAGTCAGCTCCATAACAACAATAGGAATGTCTACTTAGAGTAGCATAGTATTACAGGCTTGAAATCACCTGTGAAAATAGCAGTATTTCTGTGTACGAACCATGAATTAGTGCAGCATTGTATGAGAAGAAGAGTCTAATTAATAGTAATGACACATAATTCTGATATAATTTACAAAGAGTTGAAATAATTGGTGTCACATAATTTTGCGGAGGAAGTGAGTTTAAAAATAGCAATTTAAAAGGACTACTTACATGCACTCACTAGTAGTAATTTCCTCCTCCTTTTCCTAAAAACTAAAATAAAATAATGGCTAAAAATAAGGACAGAGCTTCTTAAAGCAGTTGTCAAAAGGACACATTTGTAAGATGGTAATTTTGGGAAGGTATAATTTTAGTTATGCATGTGACTATAGACACTTAATTACCCACCCACCCATTTCCCCCATGACTCAAAAATGATAGGGACATGTGGGTGGTCATTTGTTGTATTGTTGTTGAGGTGGAGGGTGGGGAAAGTGAAGGCTGGGAGACTACAGCCCTGAGAATTAACTCCCTGTTTTGATACTCAGTTTTTACAAGTTTGCCATAAGTTGTACACAGAGTCACGAGGAAAAAATAAGATGAAATGTACATCGGGTCACTATGAGTTGCAAGCAATTCGACGGCACATAACAACAAACATTGCACCTTACTCTGAGATACAGAGGGAATCGTTTCTATTTTCTCCTCTGTGTTACTCTCATGCCAGCTTAACCTCAATCACTGAGAAGTTC